GTATTTGGCAAATCCTGAAAATATTTTTTGTGAATCCTTGCAAAATGATAATTATTGACCACAGCCAACTTCTGGGTTACTTCAACAAATGCCTGTGGTTAACTCTCTCAACAGAGCCTTAACTTATATGTGCAAACATATTTCTTGTAGCCCAGATCTTTGTTAAGCTTCTTTGTGTATTATCTATTCATAGGCATATTTGTTTTTACTAAAATAATTCAGATTCTGTATCAAGTAAGAATGAAAATTTGATTTATATAAATGATACAGGCCAAGCCACTATATATACACACTCGCAAACATCTGGGCATACTTTGAGAAAAACAGAAAGAGAGACAACGATTGAGCATTTAAAAGTTTCATTTGGGGTCTTCAGATTATAATCCATAGTTATTAATTTATTGTGCTGATTTTCAGGCTATTTCCAGGCACAGTTTAAAATGTTAGTCCAAATGGTTGTAAATATGGCAATAGCAATAACACTTAGACTTGTATATCGCTTCACAGTGCTTTACAGCATTCTCTAAATGGTTTACAGAGTCAGCATGTTGCCCCCAACAATCTGGGTCCTCATTTTACAACCTCGGAAGGATAGATGGCTGAGTCAACCTTGAGTCAGTGAGAATCAGACTGCTGGCACTCGGCAGAATTAGCCTGCAATACTGCATTCTAACCACTGGGCCACCACAGCTCTTTATATATGTCAGTAATGGTGAACCTTTTAGAGACCAAGTGCCCAAACTGCAACCCAAAACCCACTTATTTATCATTGGGTGCCAGGTGGGCGTGGCCACTGGGTGGGTATGGCTGTGGTGGTCATGGCAGATTGGGTGAGTGTGACCAAGTTGGGCGTGATCACCTCGATGGTACTCATGGGAGGGATGCCTGTGGGGGCCGGGCAGGGTTGGGGGAGATCCAGGGGGTCTCTGGCAGGTGGGGCGGTGGGCAGGAGGCTTGTCCTGCTGGGTGAGGCGAGGCAAGGCAAGGCAAGGCAGGTCGGGGGTGCCATTGTCACAGGGCAAGGTGAGGTCAGGGTGGCTGCTGCCTGACACCATCAGCCCCTGCACACAGAGGCCAGTGAGTGCATGGGTGCTGGGATGCATCCGGCCATGTGGGACCTCAGCGAGTTAGTGGGCGGCTGGTTGAAGAGGGACGGTTGCCATCTCTGGGGCATGGCGCGCGTGCCCACAGAGAGGACTCTGAGTGCCGCCTCTGGCACACATGCCATAGGTTTGCCACCACTGATATATGTAGTTTAAGGAGGAATAAAGGAGCAACCTTCCAAGGAATGGCTTCATACAGCACCTACATTTTTCTGTGTTTGCAAGAAGTTATGGATGGACTTTTGGAATTCAGCCCTTGCATGAATTCAGCAAAACCAAAACCAAAAACCACTATATGACCTAAAAGAGGTTGAACATATTTTTAAAAGCAGGAAAAATTCCATCCTAACAGGAAAAAAAAAAAAAGGAAGAGGAATTCTCTGCTAGTCCTTTCCCACTTTGTGCCATTGTCCTGTCTGTTGTGACTTTTTTCTTCCACAGCACTGATGTGTTTAGCCATCAAAGGATGCCCCCTTACTCTGTTTTAGGACATGGTCTTTCTAAACACTTTCCTATCCCATATGAGAAAGAAATGAAACCGTTTGCCATATGCATCAAGAGTTTTATAATGTTGTGAAGATATCTAAAATAGCAAGAAGATGGACATCACTTTTGAATATAACTGTGAAATGTCTTATGGACAGACCTATAGATTATGGCCAACTACAACTGCTATTTAGAACAGATTACTAATGTTTACTTCCCCCCATAACATGGACATTATATGACATCATATTATATCTTGCTTGCTCTCATCAACAGCCTTAGAGAGAGTGGAACTAATCAGCCCTTGCACCTCATAGTGGGGGAAGTCTTAATATTTTCCACATGCCTTTCCCAAAATTTGTGTAGGAAAATTGGTAATGGCAGGAAATCTTTCATCAGGTGTATAAAAAAAAATATCTTTTTTCTTTTAATAATAATGTCTCTTTCAAGTTGAATTTGATTCTTGACTTCCTATTATGCTCTCCCTTTTGAGATCACTCCAAGTTGACTAAGTTATTGCCACCCACTTTAATTGGGCAGTTTCTCTCTTTGATTTAGATAAATGGCGAAACAGTGTACAAAAAGGTTGACAAAACTTCATGTGGTAGAGAACACCATTTAGTTAGATTGCTATAGAATTTCCATAACTTGGAAGGCATGTTATTTCTACTATTCTTACTGCTACCACAACTAGGAACAATTTATGCTTTAAATCAGGAGTAGTCAACCTTGGCTCTTTTATGACTCGTGGACTTCAACTCCCAGAATTCCTGAGCCAGCTTAGCTGGGTCAGGAATTCTGGGAGTTGAAGTTCACGAGTCATAAAAGAGCCAAGGTTGACTACCCCTGCTTTAAATAAGATAACCATGAACCATTCCCCAGAATTCTGGGAGTTGAAATCCAGAGATCTTAAAGTTGCTAAGATTGAAAAACACTGGAATAGGCTGTTTTCTTCCAGCAGAGGAAAAAAAATGGAAACCATCCAAAAACATTAATTATACCAAGCAGTCATTTGTCAGGCCAGATTCTTTCTGCTCTCTTCTTCCCACTTTTTAGTTTAGTTTTTAGTAAGGATTTGTTTTTTTAAAAAAAACAAAATCTCAGCATGTGATAGCCCTGACAAACTTTGCCTGGGCTATAAAAGGAACAAACATCTGTTCCTATAAGTTTCATAAAAAAAATGTATTTCAAGCTTGTTAGAACTTTCTGTTTGTACATTGATGGCATGAACCATACTTAATGCAGGAATATCAGATATATAACTGTCTTATTTTCTGACTCTTACTTGTGGTTCATCCCTAACATACTCTAAGCGGGTTGTCACTTACGCAGACCACATTCCCACACCCACACATCAGGCTCTTTCTCATGATCACTGTTTCTTGCCTCATCTGACTTTCTCAAACATTTCTATAGCCCTGCTTTTCATCCTGCTTATCCTTCCCTTTCCTTTAGAGGGCAAGGGCTTTGTTCTCTTGTTTGAGTACAGGAAAAGAGCCAGAATTCATCTTTAATCACTGAAACTGGACACCATTTTATCAGTGGCTTGGAATGGGAAATTCGAGCTTGGGATAAGAGAGCCGAATGGCTTTAGCTTATTTTCATTTCATGTTTAATTTCCTGCAGGCTTAGTTCAGTCTTTCCACTCCTTCCACTAGCCTCCCAAGGTTTTATGGGAAAAAGGGGATCAAGACATATTACTTTTTTTGCTTGACAGTTTATTTTGCCCTCCTCCTCTTTCTTCTTCAGCAAGGATTTTGCTTCAGCAAAGATTGACATTTCACCTTGCTTTCAAAAGCCTTCCACAGGGCAGGGTCATTGCTAGAAAAGATTTTCATTAATAAGAGAGGATTCTAAGATGAACAAAGGTTCCTCAGCTCTCTGAACCGCGGAAGGAAGCAAGGCAGAGGTAGAACACAGGTAGAACACAGCAAGGAAGCAAGAGAGAAAGAAATGGCTCCCAAATGGGACTAATTATTAAAAAGCACTTGTATGCAGATCTATATCCAGATCTTAGCTAAGGTAGCTCACCACCAGTTAGACTACTGCAGTGTGCTGCTCAGTGCTGCTTCAGAAACTGCAGTTGGCAGCAACCCATGTATTGAGTGAGAACCACCACAGCCATATAAGATCTTTGCTACAGGCCTTTATTGGCTTTCACTAGATTTCCAGATACAACTGAAAATACTCACTTTAACCTGTAGAGTCCTTTACGGTTTGGGACCTAGGTATCTCCAACCAGTGTCAACATGTCTAATAAGTTCTCCTGAGAAAAGTTAGTATTGGTTTCCCATTTTTATGATGTTTGAAAACCTAAAGCGGAGGTTTTTGTTTATGAATTTGCTTCCAGCTTGAAGTTAGGCTGATACCCAACTTGATGATATTCTGGAAATTGGTCGAAAGGAAGCTCTTCTGATAAATATTGTTTGGGTTAGTGTTTTTTATTGTTTTTGCACAATTTATAATTGCATCTTTCTTTCTTTCTTTCTTTCTTTCTTTCTTTCTTTCTTTCTTTCTTTCTTTCTTTCTTTCTTTCTTTCTTTCTTTCTTTCTTTCTTTCCCATTTGTTTAATGACTGTTCAAAGCAACTCTGGCTGGAGATGCTGAGAGTTAACAATCAAACATCTACAAGTAGTCCTTGATAAACAACAGTAATTGGGACTGGGAACTCTGTTGTTAAGCAATTTAGTTGTAAAGTGTGATGTCATATGACTGCATCTACTTATGATGGCAGCTTGTTACGCAAGATGTCAAGTGATTTGCCCATCTGGGACTTCCTGCTGGCTTTCCCGTTGACTTTGCTTTACCAAAGATTGAAAATGGTAATCATGTGACTGCAGGGATGCTGTGACCCCTGTAACTGCAAGTCAGTTGCCAAGTGTCTGAATCATGATCACGTGACTGCAGGGATGCTGCGAAGACTATTAATTTGAAGACCATCCATAAGTCTCCTCACTCAGCACCAATGCAGCTTTAAATGAAAACTGAAGAAATGGTTGTTAACCAAGGACTATCTGTACTTTCAAAACATCTGCTACAGCACTGAGCTACTCTGAAGAATTTTTAATAATGAGTGTACCAGGAGTTGTATATAATGCCTGCTGTTGTGGAATGCTAGAGGTAGAACACAAAAACCTGTCTTCTTGAATTAAGCATTTAATTTGTAGTCACCTTGTAGCAAGATGGGTGGCAAAGAAATTTAATAAATTAATAATAAATTAATAAATAGGAATTTAGAAAAAGCTGAAAAAATTGCTTGGTGTTTACACACACACACACACACACACAACAAAGTGTATTGTACATTTATCCCAGTCTAAGGATATTGCTTACTGTTTTTAGTTGAAGACATGGCTGCATTGGGGACTTGCCAATTTTCTTGTTCCCATGTCCTACAGTTTCTTCCCTTACCTGTACTCGGGCTTCAGTGAGATCTGTCCTCATGGCTAATTGCTCTCTGGCGTAGACATCTGGATAATGGGTCTTCTGAAAGACCTTTTCCAGCTCTTCCAACTGGTAGCTGGTGAAGGTGGTGCGGTTACGCCTCTTCTTGCCCTTGTTGCTCTCCGAATCAGTCTTGTCCATTGGACTGGGAAGATCATTACTTGCCCTCTCTTGAGACGTCTTCGCACTGGTCTCTTTCACGCTGAGGTAACTACTATCCATTCCAGCAGAATCAGATCCTGGCTGTAGTTCAGTCTCTCCAAGTGAACTTTCTTTAGCTATGTAGGAGATGGGGGATAGGGAAATGGGAAGGAGAGAGAAAGAGAAAAAAAACCCATAAAGCTATGGATAAACAAATTATTGAATTGGATGCATGTTTGTGAAGAAAGAAGATACAAGGAAAAGAGATGGATTTAAGGACATGTGCCAGGAGGATGAAATATTAAGAAATCAGAAATATAAAACCATTTGGCTTAGAGTAAAAGTAAAAGATGGATACAGCTTGAGGCCTATAAAATAAATGGAATCCTTTAATTTAACTTTAAGTTTAGTTTCTTAAAGAAAATCAACTTTGGGTCCACTCTAGCAAAGGTTTGTTGTGCTAATTCTGCTGCGATTTTCTATGCTGAAGTAGGCTACTTCAACACGTACAAATATGACAAAGGTCTGTATAATTTGTAGGCTATTAGGATATTTCCATTTTTTATAGTAAGCACATTGGACAGTAGGATAACTGTTGCTACTTCACCCCACCTTCCCCAATCTAGTATCCTCCAGAAGTGGGGAGACTGAAATTCCCACAATTCCTGCATGACCTTTAGTGATGTTGGCTGAAAATTCTAGGAATTGCAGCCCTAAGATTCCTGGTTGACTGTCAGACTTGGGATGGCTGCTCCGCTCATGGCTTCAGGGAGAGGAATTTCCAAAACACTCTAGAGAGAAAAGGACATACAGAGAGTCAAATAAGAAGGAGTCTGGGAGCACCTTTGCTGGCTGGGGAATTCTGGGAGTTGGCATCCACACATCTTAGTTACCAAGTTTGAAAAACACCGGCATAAGTTTTATAAGCTGCGACTCAGTTCATCAGGTGCAACTTTATCTGATGTTGCATGAAAGCTAAACTCTTTTAATACAATTGGTTAATCAGAAAAAGGTACTCCAAGACTCCTTCTGACTTTGCCACGGTAGGCAAACACTCTCTGACAATGGAAAGAACATTGTAGTTTTTACTCATGCTCTACCTTAAACACATTTTATCTAACGTCCTGTTCAGTTCGGGTGAAAATAAATTCCACATAGGCATATTCACAGCCTTATTTTAATTTTAACTTATTGGTCACTTTTAAATTTCTTTTCTTAAAGAATGGGAGAGATCTGCAGGGGGAAACAGATGGCAAATGAACTTGCCCTACTGTGAGCTTGTCTCCCTGCTTCCTCTAGCTCCTTGGATTGTTAGCCATCAATCATTATGACTTGCTTCTTGCTTTTCCTTTTGTTATCAGTTCCAGAACATATAACATTCAACTTGCAAAGAATCTGTCATCTTATGCTTCTGTTTGACAAACTGTGAACTGTTTCACATTGCTTCAGTAGAGAGTGGATCCTGGATATTTGGCAAACCGTGAATAAGTGAAGTTTTAAATCTTACTCCTCCCAATTAAAGTCTGACACACAGTATATGCCCATGAAGAGCTTTGTGAAAGAATAATAATAATACAGTGTGCTTATACATGATTGCTCTTCTATCGGGTAACGTGCTGGCTTCCCAATATGTTATTCTTGGAACCAGAATCAAACTCATGCAATTTTTGATGCAGTGCAGTGATAAAATAAGAATAGGAACTGAATGAATTACTTAATTTGCAGTTTCAGGACAAACCGTCAACTGCATTTTCAAGTCTGCGTGTTGCTCCATTTTCTGATGCAGTTGCTCAACCAAAAACCGTGTCTACTACGGAACATTTTACAAAATTAAGTACAAAAGTGTTCATTAAAAGGCACACAAAAAGAGATTGGTTAGGAAAAATGTGTAGATGGTAATAAAATAGTAATTTTTAAAATGGCAAGGCGATCCCAAATAAGAGGAAATAAGCACAAGGGTGAGGAAATGAGGATCTGCACAAAATCAAAAGGGATTTAGTTTAAGGATACTTAATGATGGTAAATAATCAGCTGGGCAATGCTTAATTCATACATCACCTATTACCAGTTTGGTATTAAACAAATGACTTAATGATAATGATAATTACCAGTGTTTTTCAACCTTGACAATTTTAAGGCATGTGGACTTCAACTCCCAGAATTCCACAGCCAGCAACGCTGGCTGTGGAATTCTGGGAGTTGAAGTCCACATGCCTTAAAATTGTCAAGGTTGAGAAACACTGATTTAGACTCTGGACCAACTTCAGGGTTTTCTTTTTTTTATAAAATAAGTGCCATTTCCCCCCAGTTCACAACCCACAGACTGTTGAGCACAGAAGAATGATCCATGAGAACAAGTTTGGTCTAGTTCACCAGGCTTCAAAGCACCGAGTCCAAGTCCTTCTTTAGCCATGAAAGCCAGCTGGGCGACTTTGGGCCAGTTACTCTTTTCCACCCCAATCCATCATACAGGTTTGTTGTTGTGCGGAAAATAGAAGGAGGGAGGTGTGTTGGATATGTTTGACACCTTGAGATATTTGTAAAAACAATATAGGTGGGATATATATAAATAAATAATACACATTTTGTTTTGATGGGGATTCTGGGGGGGGGGGGGTTTACCTGCAATGTGGAACCTTCTGGGAGAGAAAAGAGAATGTAAAACTCACATGCTCATGGAGATGTGGAAATTCACACCTTCTAAGTAAACTAATTATGCAGGCAGTGGAATCAGTAGCTCTGTTTTTTCCAGGATTCCAGATGACACAGAGAATGTTTTCTGGATATAAGCATTTCTGCAGATGCTGATGTAAGCACGGAGCATGCTTGTTTATTTACTGATCAAAGTATTTGTACATTGACTATTTCTGTAACTAAAAAGTAGAGTTACGGATGTAATCCCACTGCTCCCACCAATGCATTTAGTGCTCGTGCAAATCACGTGAGAGTAAATTAAAAAGTAATAGATGGTCACTGGGTTTAGAGTTGCTTGAAGACACTGTTGCTACAAAAATTGAAGAGTACTCCTGCATACAATGTGATGCGAGCTTATTCAATGGCTATGTGACATTGCCTATAAAGCTTACTTTTGTACTTAAGCTTCATCTGAAGTTCTGGTGGTGATGGTGATGTGTGTGTGTGTGTGGGGGGGGGGGAGAGATTTATTTCCCAGTGACTCTATAAAGCCCCAATCTGGCAACCATTACATTGACATTTTCCAAATTCATTCCCCTGTTTATGGCCCATCTTAATTTGTCATGCCTTCTAAGCCATTAATTGTACAAGAGCATTTACAGAAGACTCCATCTGACTGTGAAGCCACATGCCTTTTCTCCTAGAGTTGGCAGCAGAGGCTGAAAAGAACAATGGCTGGAAGAGGGGGTTGCCTACCATCTGCCAACTTTTTTTTTTTTCACAGAGCTTTTTGTCTTTTTCCTCCTTTGCTGTTGCCAGGAGAGGAGAAAGCGCACCATGGAAGTCTATGAAAGAATTGTCACAGAGGGAGAATAATGGCATGTGTGCAGAGCGCAAAGGGGAGGGGAATAATTCTTGGACTATTCCATCTTTATTGGACAGAGAACAAATTCTGGAGAGAGCGTGAGCCAAGAGCTTTCAGCAAGTACATCTCTCAATTGTCTGCAGACAATAGACTCACATGCAGTGACCAACATGCACGCACACACACAAACACCCACACCCACAGTCCAACAGTGCCTGCAGATAAGATTTTCTGATAGAATATAGCATATTTCAGAATTATTTGCCTTTAATTGTGCGTGTCTATGTATTTGCTTTCTAAAAATCCTATTGTACAATTTAAAAAACAACAACAAATTGGCAAAGTGCTTAATAAATAAAACAATGGGGCAGTCTAGTTTTGTAAGTCAGATTTAAAGTATGGATAATCCATTTGTATATATTTGCCTTTATTTCACCATGTGTACTTATACCAGATACAATCCTGCTTCTGAAGAAGCAACCACAGATACTAAGAAAGCCCATACGCAGGTCATCTGCCCTTTACATGTTGCATGCCAATACTATCCAAAGATTATCACTCTGGGGCATGGGGACATGTTGAAAACATGTTTCCAGCCAGCCAGGATGACTTCTAGTGCTGTTGCCCATCTACATCTACCAATCTGCTAGGCACAAAGTAGAGGCCTCTTGGTGGCCACTTTGTCCAATGTTCTCAAATCTTGACATGGTTTTCATGGTATCTGTCAGCATAACTGGGCACCTCCTGATCACGCATCATCCAGCAGAGACCCACGCACAGATTGGACACTGTGGGCCATTTTCATATTACTCCGTGCCAACTCAGCAAACAGCAAAAGAAAATTCACATACAGCTCGCTCTACCAAGCAGATTCCCATGGAGAAATGAGACTGCCCTGAGGCCCCTACATTAGTGCTGCAGGCCCACAAGGGGCAAGATATATTTCCAGTTGGACAGATTTTCTGGGAAAGAGTTCTGGAGGGCTTCTTTTAAGATGAGGACCCATCGCTTGGCACTACCAGGATTAATAGGTATCTGTCCTGTGAGTGATGGTTTGGAAATTATTGCGATTACATTGGTAGTGAACAACTCAGAATGGTTTTTGGGAGGGATACTTGAAATCACACACATTGTGCCATCATGGGATGCTTCTTCCCTCCCCACCCCTATTTTCTTGATTTTTGGAAGATGAACAGAGAAAACATGTGAAATGGGAGTTTCAAATGCCTGTTGATTGAAGACCTACTACTAGAGAGGTGGGAGAACAGAGTGCAAAGAAACCACATATGGGTCAGGAACACAGCAATGTTATTGTTCTGATAAACAGAATAGTTATGGGAATCCCACACATAATGTCAAAGTACGCAAAAGACAAGGCTGGCAAAGGCTTTTTGGTGCCAGAGACAAAATATCCTGCCAGAATCCCTTCTTTTGGATAGCAACATAATAATGTTACATAACCATTTCACTGTCCCTTCATTACAGCCAATTTTGGTTTTCTGAGTCATGTTCCTACTTGCAGGATACCACAGTACAATCATAGTCTGTGCTTGATCCCCACAATATCACTCCTTTCTTATTCCCAGCCCTTGAGTGAAACAACCAGATGCTATCAACAGAAAGAGCATTCTTAAAGTA